TGTATGTTAAATAAATAATGTGATTTATAAACATACATCATTCAAATTTTTGAATCCATCACGTCACGAAGAACTTATTTATTACGTGACGAAAATCGTAATTTTCAAGTCACCCTGAATGAATATTTATATGCAACTTGGATGGATTTTAAAGCAAGTTGGATAAAGATAAAATATAAAATTTGATTTATAACATTAATTCCGTTTTAGAATAAGATTTATTTAATTTATATTACTCTATATACAATCATTAAATTTTATGAAAATAAATATAAAATACGTTTCGCTTAAATTACATTTTAAAACATTGAAATTTGATTTTAAAAACATATTTAAATAATTGATTATAAATATATTTAAAGATTTTTATTTATAATATCCATATAGGATGATTTTTTATTAACTAAACCAATATAATATATTTAAATATTGATTAAATTGTAAGAAAAAATACCCTAAAAAATATAGAAAAAATGGATACTTGATAGCAATGAAATTCGTAAATCAATAAATGTTCCTTAAAAGTATATATATAGAAAAAATTCTTCAATATTCTGTTGTAAATAATTTAGAAATAGATTTTTATACAATATAGTTTAGTTTCATAAAAAATTCTATTTTTATTATTTAATATGTAAAGAAAAAAATCGGGTTTGTCATTAAAAAAATGCGATTTTTTTGAGTTAAAACGCCGTAAAAATTCAATTTACGGCTTTATTAATGTAGAATTTATATTAAAATTTTTAATTAATTAAATAAGCAAAAATAGATTTACACGTGTATTATACAGTATGAACTTTACATCATTAAAAATTAATGTTGAAAAACAATAATATGATTTATTCAATAATATTTTAATTAAAAAACAGGATGCGAAACTTTGATAAATAAATTTATTTGTTTAAAATGTAAGAAAAGGTATAATTTAAATGCATTAAACATGATTTATAATTAAAATTAAAGCTTAATTAATATTATATTATTTATATAATAAAAATGTAAAATTTAATTAAATGTATATTAAATATTATTTATTTTAGTAGATTAAAATGCAATTTACTTTCAATTTCGTACAGAAAATTTAAATATTAAATTACAGAATTTAAATGATGAAAAAATGTTTTAATCATGATATTGTTTGTTGTTTGATCGATTTATTTTTAGAAAAACAAATTTATTACATAAAAGAAATAATTCGGAAAAAAAATAAATATACTTTTTCATTGTAAACATATGAATATATATCGAATATATATTTGCATAAAGAATATATATTGTATGTTTTCTAGAAAACAATGTTAGAATAACAATATCAATGATTCGAACTTTAAATAA